CCAACTCGGGCCAGGAATCCAATATTCCAGCGCTAAGGCTGTGCGGTGCCGGGTTCCCACTCCTGCTAGCCACCAGGAGTCACCTTTGGGAGCAGGGCGGGTCTGTGAAGACCCCCCGCGTGCTGCTCTTGTGGGCCCCCTTCCCTTTGTGCTTCCTCCTGACCCTTCCACGGCAGGCTTTAGGTTTTGTTTTCCAAAAGGATACTGAGGATTCTCGAGGGCAGCTAGGAAATAAAGTAGCTCAAATGGACGGAATTTGAACTTTGAAACGTGGGCTGGGACGCTGGGGTCTCTGCAGGAGCTTGACACAGGCTAGTGCCTCTGGAGCGTCAGTTGCCTTGTCTACAAACGGGAGACAGGGCATGCTGGACCTTTGAGCGAATTGGAGAGGTTGTATGCAAAATATCTATCTAGTAGTGTGTCCGTATGGGAGGATGTGGGATGATGGGTTCCCAGACTAGAGCCTCTTTATGCCTGGGAATCCCTCAAAAAGTCCATCAGAGGGTACCCATCTCTCAGTGCCCTGGAATCAAATCTGGTCTTACCCTGAGGCCACTGGCCTCCACTCCCACATCCTGTCCAGAATGGTTTCTATAGAAGGTGGTGGGTTTTACTGTATCAGGTTTAACAATGGTGAGGGTGGAGAGTGGGCCTAACTTGCTACATTAACATTCCCTTTTCCCCAGAAATCTGTGGTAGTCACAGATAAGGCATCTGTGACTATGCATGGATCCTTGGAGTAAAGAGGGTTGGGGAAGGAAACCCCACATGATCACATAGAACTTATCAGGCTGAAATGTGTTGCTCAGTTCTTAATTTAGCAGCAGGACTTTTCCATCTTATTTTTATTTTTTATGTTTTTCAAGTAGGCTCCATGCCCAACATGGGGTTTGAACTCACAGACCCTGAGATCAAGAGTAAGATGTTCTACTGACTGAGCCAGCCAGGTGCTCCAGGACCTTTCCATCTAAGGATGAGGAGTTCATTTATTTAATCACTCTACACCTGTTGACTGTCCTGCAGGATTCCAGCCGGTGTTCTAGGCTCTAGGGATACAGCAGGGAACCACACAAAGCCCTGTCTTCATGGGGCTCACATTCTAGAGAAGGGACATAAGTAAGCAAATACGTAAAGAAGATGAGCTCACATAGTGACTTGTGTGATGAAAAGAAGAGCGGGTAATGAGACACAGAGTGATTGGAGGAGGGCTGGGGAGCACTGCTTTTGCTCAGGTGGTCAGGATGGCCTCTTGGCAGTGATATTTGAGCCATGACCTGAAGGGTGAGTAGGAGGTAACCATGTGAAAACTCAGAAGAAGAGATACAGGGCATACTGGTTGCAAAGAAACCATTGTATCCTGACAAGAAATCATCACACCCAATTTATGCTTTAAAAAAAAAAAAATCACTCTGGTTGCCATGGAGAGAACAGTCAAGCCTGGGGTATGGGGAAGGAATGAAAATATAAAAAAGGAAATAAGTTCAATTCTGGACAAATTGAGTCTGTAAGGCCTACAGGTCAAGATGCACTGCAGGCAATTTGAAATTCATTTTTACAATTGAAGAGAGTGATTGGATAGACTTGGAAATCATCAGAAAATAGAAAAATATCTGATGCTTGGAGTGGATAGGGAAGCCCCCAGAAAATAGAAAAAACATCTGATACTTGGAGTGGATAGGGATGCCCCTTGAAAATGGGGGGAAAAAATCATAAACTGTTGTTACGGGTAGAAATCTGGAAAGCCCCCAATGTAAGAGGCAGAGTGTCCAGGAGAAGTCCGATAAAGAGACCAAGAATGAATAGCAAAGTCCGAGAGAACAGAGAGGGTGATAGGTGTCTAGGGAACAGAGTTTTTTTGGGGGGGGGCAGGTAGGGGGGCCATTAAGAGTGTCAGATACTGCAGAGAGAGCAAATGGGATAAAGACAGAAAGAGGCCATTGTATTTAACAATGACAAAGCCATTAGCAGTGAGGATCATTTAAACAACCATCCCATCAGTTAGAATGGCTACAATATAGTACTTCTATTTAATAACATATACTCTTAAAAAGGAATTAGGTAAATTTATATGACTAATAAGATAGGCAGATTGTTTAAATGTAAAAAGCAAATGATGGAACAGTATAAATAGCCCATTCTCTTAGTATCAGAAGAAGCTCTCTGGGAAGCAAGATAATCTTGTGAAAGCTGGAGGGAGGCAGTGAGAGGGTCTCACGAGAGGCCGGAAACGACATGTAATGGGGATAGCCCTGGCATTGATGCCATTTTCTCCAGTAGAACTCGGGATAGTTAGATTAACTCAAGTTGGAAACAGGTAGGGAAGGCAAATTCAGAGTGAGTTCAATGTGCTGATGAAGCCCATGATATCTAGGGTAGAGAGGAAAGGCAAAGCTCAGAAGAGTATAGATACAGGAAAAAGAGAGCCCTCAGGATGATTGCAAAAAATAAAAGGGAAGATTTAGTACTAGTGAAAGAAGAGGGGGCAGGTATTAGTAGCAAGAATTTATTGAGCACTTACTTTGTAATTTTCCTGTGTTATTTGTTTGCTCCTTGCCGATCTGTGACATAGGAGTATAATCTCTGTTTACAGAGGAGGAAATGGAGGCACAGAGATTAAGTAAATCAGTCACGTAACTCGCAAATGACAGAAGCAAGATTTGAAGTCAGGTTTTACTCACTGTGCTTCATAAAAAGCTGTGATTTCAGTGAAGTACTTCAGAGGTGGGATTGGTCTGGAAGACTGGATTATGCTAATCTGGAATAAAGGTGTAGTAATTTGGGTTAAGGCAGGTGAAGGAGCCACAAGACAGAGTGGCTAGTAGGATGATCAAGGCAGGTTTGGGGGCTGTCTGGAAATGAGGTGGACGAGAATATTCTCAGTTGGTAGAAACTGTGATAAGGATGACAAGGGGCATAGAGCCAGATGACTTAAGCGGAAAAGAAGTATGGTTTGTGCAAGAGAAGGGAATATTAAGAGATTTAAGATGCCTTTTGCCTACAGATGACTTTCAGGTGAATTGGGGAGATAGGACGTTAGTAGATTATTAACAATAAGTGGTAGTGGGGCGCCTGGGTGGCTCAGTCGGTTAAGCGTCCAACTTCGGCTCAGGTCATGACCTCAGGGTTCGTAAATTCAAGTCCCGCATCCAGCTGTCTGCTGTCCGCACAGAGCCCGCTTCAGATCCTCTCTCTCCCTCTTTCCCTGCCCTTCCCCCATTCACTCGCAATCTCTCTCAGAAAATAAACAAACATTAAAAAACAACAACAACAACAATTAGTGGTAGCATATGTGAAGCCAAATAAACAATATAGACCCTGAGTTCAGAAACTTTGCTCAGGAGTGACTGGTCGCTTGATCTGGACCTAGTAAGGTCACCCGCCCATGGTTGGTACATCCTTGTTACTTCGCAGGGAGAGAGAAAGATCTCTACCCATCTGGCCTTTTGAGATCAGGTTCTTAGATAGGTTTTGTTTTTTACCAAAGCATTATCGAGAGAATCATAGTACCTACACAGTGAGTTTGGAAGGAATAAGGAGAAGAGAAAAATCCAAAATGATTGTGGTATTTCTGTCATGGGTGGCTCCCACCTACCCCACCCCACCAAAGAATGGGGGCAGTATTGGAGATAAGTAATCAGATAATCCATCTACAACACAACTTTACTAGGTCGGGGCCAAACCCCCCACAGAAGAGGAAGGCAATGCGTGTGATATAAGGTATGAAGGTATTATTTGGTCTGTCGAGTCCCGTTTATTCTTCTGGTAGCAGAACCTGGAGCCCTTCTTTTAGGAAACTGCTTTTACACATTTTCTCCGTGTGTGTTGTGATGCCTCCATCACTGCCCGCCTCCTTCCCTGGACCAGTCAACGTTTGTGTGTGAGATTCTTGGAAGCAGAGCGGAGGGATGAGACTCCTTTCCTCTCTGACAGTTGAGGGGTAGATGTGAGCCTAAAAATTGGCAGCAACCATGGTCACTGCCTGAAGGAGAGAGTGGGGCCTAGGGTGTGGGGCTCAGAGGCCGAGAGGAGCAGGGATTTGCTTTTTGTATATGTTTCCAAACTATTTTTCTCCCTGGGGGAGAAACTTGAAAAATGGTGCAAGGCATGTTTTCGGCAAAAAATTATTTTTATTGATTTAGAAGTTTCTCAATATATCTTCAGATGAGAAAAAAGAGAACCCAAGTGAGTTCCGGGTTTAAATTTTGTATAAAATGGCTCAGTTAGTGTGTTTGTCGCTTCCCCGGCTTAGCCATGTTTTCTGCCTTTGAACAGAGAAAGCATTGTTCTGAATAAACTTAGAGCATATTATCTGCGATACTGAAACTATTTAAAGATTTCTTGTTTTGATTTTTTGAAAAGCAGATGAATAACATAATTATCTGCAGTTCGTAGCAGTCTCCATTCCTTCAGATTTAGGACTTCTTTGCAATGCAATTTGCATGCACCATTAAGAATTACAAGGGATAAGCCAGTAGTTTCTCTCTCTCTCTCTTTGTAAACAGCATATTACTTTTTTTTCCTCATCATAAGTGTAGTCTTTAATCCCCATCACCTATTTCACCCATTCTCCCCACCCACCTCCCATCTGTTAACCATCAGTTTGTTCTCTATAATTAAGAATCTGTTTCTTGATTTCTCTCTTTTCCCTTTGCTTGTTTGTTTCTTAAAGTCCACACATGAATGAGATCATATGGTTATTTGTCTTTCTCTGACTTATTTTGCTTAGTGTTATACTCTCTAGCTCCATCCATGTTGTTGCAAATGGTAAGATTTCATTTTTTTTTTTTTTACGGCGGAATAACATTCGTTTGTATATGTATATATACCTCATCTTCTTTATCCACTCATCTATTGATACATACTTGGGATGCTTCCATAGTTTGGCTATTGTAGATAATGCTGCTATGAACATCGGGGTGCATGTATCCCTTTGTTTTTGTACTTTTTTGGTAAATACCCTGTAGAATGATTCCTGGATCCTATGGTATTTTTAATACTTTTAATATTTTGAGGAACTTCCATACTGTTTTGCACAACGGCTGCTCCAGTTTGCATTCCCACCAGCAGCGCACGAGGGTTCCTCTTTTTCCACATCCTTGCCAACATCTGTTGTTTGTACACCAGTAATTTCTTTATCTCTAGTTGCCTTTTATCTCAACAAGGAAAACACACTGAGACACAGAATTAAAGCCCCCAAGGTCTCACAGCTATACACCCATCTTCACATGTACGGGACTTCTAAGTCCATATGCTTGACCACTATTCCATGCTGCCTCTGAGCTACGAATTATCATGACAGCTCTTATGAAAAGGTTGGTTTTGTCATTTGCTTATCATTATTTTCTCCTCCTCCTCCTCCTCCCCCTCCTCCTCCTCCTTCTTCTTCTCCTCTTCCTCCTCCTCCTTCTTCTTATTCCTCTCCTCCTCCTCCTTCTTCTTCTTCTTCTTCTTCTTCTTCTGCTTCTGCTTCTGCT